GCACCACATGGCATTTTAAGGATACTATAAAGATGAAGTCAATCTTATTTTCAATGAATTACATTTTTTTTAAGTCCTCCTGTGTGTACAATAATTATTGTAAATTAAACACTTACCGTCTCCACCCTTCAGCTCTGCTCTCTGCACCCTACTCTGCCACTGGTCACTGCCTTACTTTTGGACACCCAGGGCCATCCACACCTTTTCTGTAAGCCCCGGCTGTCAAGGACACACCCAGTGGCCTCAGTGTCATCATGTAGCCTTGGTTCACAGTGTATTACTGGAAAGAACAGCACACTACATTACAATTTTTGAGCACCACTGAATCCCACCAACAGCCCCACTATGGAGATGAACTGGCAGGATCATGCTCCCTTAAAGCAAAAAATCAACCTTGCAGTAGGACCACCCTTACTGCAATGTTTAATTGCACATTAAGCCCAAGGGCAGAGGATTGAGGAGGACATACCTTATTCCTCACTCCAGCAGGCTCCATCCAGGGCTACAGCAGGTCACCCTCTGCAAGCTGCAATCAGCTCTGTTCACCCTCAAACCTCCAATATGTATAATATAGGGTTAATGTCCCTGTATTATATGTGATCATGCTGATGTTCTGCCCACAAACCAGAACTTCAAGCGGAGGAGGCTAGCTCTGGAGCCGGGGAGACAGGTGCTTAATACTGACTGTTCTGAAATCCCCTAGAAATAAATAGCAATTAACCTTTGCAGTGCTGGGGACCCCACTGCAAGGGAGGATTGTGAGATGGAGGGAGAGGAGGGCTAGTTGTTTTTTTTGTAGACCTGGAGTTGGGCATTAATATGGGAAGTTCTGAAATAGTTAGCACTTGACCACACAAAGTACAAAAAGGTAAAAAACCTTCAGTGTGCAGCTCCCTCCTCAGCCCCCCTAATACTTACGTAAGCCCCTCACGATCCAGTGCACAAGAGCCTCGACTCTCCTGAGTCTCTCCCTTCTCATTGGCTGAGACACAGCAGTGGGAACCATTGACTCCTGCTGCTGTCAATCACAGCCAGTTAGGAGGGAGTGGGGGGGGGGGTGGGACTGAGCTGTGCTCTGTATGTCTTATGTACATAGAGGTCGAGCTCGGGAGCAAGCATGCATGAGTGCCTCCAGAGCAAACAGCTTGGGCGGAGGGGCCAGGAGCGCCAGCGGAGAGAACCCCAAAAAGAGGAAGATCGGGGCTGCTCTGTGCAAAACTATTGCACAGAGCATGTAAGTATGACGTTTGTTATTTTAATTAAAAAAAAACAACAAAGCTTTACAACCACTTTAACTAATCAGATTTTAAGTTGGTGACAATGGGGTCAACTTGTAGGCATACAATACTTAATTTTTAAGGTTACAGACAAAAATTGCTGGATTAATTCAGGTAGGACATCCCTGAAGGCCTAGGTATGAAATGCATGGTCCGCAACTTGTTTGAACACAGACAAATTACAGAGTGCATATGCTTGTTTCCTCTAAAGACAATCCATACTGCTTGAATGGAAGAAAGAAGGTGAGAATATGGAGGAATAAGAGGATGTCTGAATTTGTAAAAGACAATCACCTGTGCCCATGTAGATGGTGTTTACTGACTGGCAGACATTGGAGGGAAACAGGAGACACAATTTCTCTATTAAAGTGGTTCTAATGGACAAAGTTTTCTTTCTTTTTTTTTACCTTCCCCCTTATAATTACCTTATTCTTGATCTAGAGCTGTGTTCGAGAGCAAGGGCTTCAATGTTACCACTGGCTCCTGCTGCTGTCAATCACAGCCAGTGGGAAGAGAGCAGGGGGTGGGCCAAGCCGCACTTTGTGTATCAATGGACACACAGGGCATGGCTCAGAAGCAAACCCACACCATAGTATGCAACTTGCTATGGGATCACTTACATCGGGGAGGAACCAGGAGCACCGGCAGGGGACCCCAGAAGAGGGGGATCTGGGCTGCTTTGTGCAAAACCATTAAACAGACAGGTAAGTAACACGTTTATTATTATTATTTCTTTGGAATCACTTTAAGTGCTTTACATAAAGATAATCAGCATATGTAACAAAACAGTTTATTTACTAGTGACACCTATTAACAATAAGGCACTTTAGATAACAGTCAACAGCACAACAAAAGAATGCAGGGCTTACATACTCAAGGATGTGCAAGGTGTGCTTTCCTAAGCAACCGGGAATGCCTAGATTAGAATTATCCCAGCAGAGGGCGCTGTCCTATCCTGGCTGCTTTGCAGAATGTTTCCCAGTATACCTACACACTGGTGATGAAGTCTATAACTTCTTCCTTCCACACTGTTCTCTTCCAGCATTTCCTGGCCTAAGCATGCACTTTTCTGCCTCGACAGGAGCCTGTCCCTAACTCTCGGCCAAGACCCTGACAAGACTCTCCCAAGATGGTTCCCAGAGTCCATGGCAGAGGATACATTTTTCCTATGCCAGGCTCCTGTAGCTCCAGTAGTAAGCAATGGTCACTGGATTGCCACACCACTACCTGCTCTGCTAGCCTAGCGGAAAATGGCAGCATTTCTCAGTTCTTCTCAGCATACGCTGCATTTTATATCAGACAACTGTGTTAAAATGTATTTTAAACCATACATTTGGATGATGCATTTATTAGCTGTGAGTCATTGCTAGAGCCTAAAGCCATTCCCAGGACCTGATCAAACTTTTTTATGGAATGACTTGTCCTGCCATAAGAAACAATAACGGAAATATTTTGCATAAAACATTTTTTTTTCTGAATGTTATTCAAAGCATTTTGGGATTCAACTACTAACAATGTGTGCTGACTAAGCTGCGAATGACTGCTTTTGTAAATCAGATTAGAATGTCACTATGTTAGGATTAGTGTCAAATATAGAAGAAATGTACTTGCTTCTAGGGAAAATGCTTGATACTGAGTTGTTACTGAGATGCTTTTGATTGGCATTTCCATTGATTTGTAAAACTTAAAAAAAAACAAAACAAAAAAAAACTTCAGATGTAGCAGAGTAGGACATTGAGGCTCCATGCACACTGGGCGTTTTGATAATGCTGGTAATGTTACCTTTTTTTAGCTACATAGTTACATAGTTAGTCTGGCTGAAAAAAGACAAAAGTCCATCCAGTTCAACCATCAAAAAAAAAAAAAAAAAAAGTTATAATCCTATACCCACAGTTGATCCAGAAGAAGGCAAAAAAAACCCACCAAAGCATGATCCAATTTGATCCTGCAGGGAAAAAAATTCCTTCCTGATAATTGTGTAAAGCTACATTAATTGATCCCATTATGTTTTACATAATAAAAACACTTACTGACATCTGCTTTATAAAATGATTTAAACTACAGTACGTGGGAATGAATACCTTGTAAGATAACCCATTCAAATTAACCCCCTTGGTGCCGGCACCTCTCAGCCCTTTAAGAGGTTTCAGGTGCTGGGAGGTGGGGAGGGGTTTATAATCCTGTGATGGCTGTGATTTGCTGCGTGTTAGCGGTTTTGCATTAGCGTTTAGTGGCGTTTTTCCGCATTTAGCGCCATTTTCCTGCATATTTCTACGTTTGCGGTTTTTAGCAAACGTCAAAAAAGTCCAAAAAAAAACGCCGGTTTGCGGTGTGTTTTGCTGCGTTTTTCAGCATTAGAGCATTTTTACAACTAAAAAACTCCCACTAGTCCTGGATTTTTTTTCCAGCCATCCGTGATATACTTTCAGCTACCTCTCATGACGGCCATTCAAAAAAAGTCCCAGCCAAAAAATGTTGATTACAGTCTATGTGTGCATGGACACATAGGATAACATGCTAGGGGGTTTACTAGCTGTAACAAAAAACGTCAAAAGCCAAAAACAGCAGCTGTAAAAACGTCAAGTGTGTATGAGGACTGAGCCTTTAGAAAACACAAAGTCAGCACATGTAGCTGTAAAAGCAAATCAATGGTGCCCCATAAGGTGCAATCAAAATGTAAACGTGGCATTACAAAATTTCCCACACTGTTTTAAACTTTTTCCCAAAATGTTCACATTGTGGGGAGATTTACTAAAACTGATACATTTAGAATCCGGTGCAGCTGTGCATGGTAACCAGCCAGCTTCTAACTTCAGCTTGTTCAATTAAGCTTTGACAATTAAACCTGGAAGCTGATTGGTTGCAGAGATGCACCAGATTTTGCACTATGTCGTTTTAGTAAATAACCCCCCCCCCCCGTGTCTTTTTGCATTGTAAGGAAAAAAGTTGATCTCATTCAAATGATAGAGCGGCTTTACAGTTTTTTCCAACAAATGTCAAAAGTGATCAAGAAACAAACCTCTATGTACACAAGCACTTCATTATGAATTGAAGACAAACAGGTCCACTCAACACAGAGCCAAGCAAGCCAACAGAAATATCTATGTTTTTCTTCATTTAATAGGACATATTTTCTGTGTGTGGATTACCGTGATTGGGTAACGTTGCTTCTTTAATGGCTTTAATACCGGGCACTTTCACCCTCTTCCTGCCCAGGTCAATTTTCAGCTTACATGATTGCGCACTTGTCAATCACACTGTACACATATGAAATTGTTAGAATTTTTTTCACACAATTATAGCTTTTTTTTGGTGGTATTTAATCACTGCTGTTTTTTTTTAATTTTTTTGCTAACTAAATAAAGAAAGATAGAATTTAAAAAAAAAAAAAAGCGGTTTTCTTATTTTCTGTTATAACATTTTACAAATAAATAATCATTCTTCATAATTTTAGGCCAAAATGTATTCTGCTACACTTCTTTGGTGAAAATAACCCAAATCAATGTATATTACTTAGTCTGTAGGAAAGTTATCTGAAAATTGATCAGTCCTGATCAGGGGTGGACTGACAACTCATGGGGCCCCCGGGCAATAGGGGATCATGGGGCCCCTGTGTCCTTGCCCAAACTCAAAAAAGCCTATGAAAAAGGTACCAGGGACATCTCATGGGGCCCCCTACTGACCCCGGGCCCTCGGGCAGTACCCGAGTTTCCAAATGGTCAGTCTGCCCCTGTTCCTGATGTACTGATGGCCTAGCTCACTTTTTGAGTCCCAAAAATGTCAGGACAGTACAAATATCCTCCAAATGACCCCTTGTTGGAAAGTAGACAGTCCAAGGCATTTAGTAAGAGGCATTGCGAGTTTTTTGAAGTTGTAATTTTTTGTCACAATTTTTTTTGGAAAGTGAAAAAATTAAAAAAACAATGTTTTTTTTCACAATTTTTACTTTTTTTTTTTTACATAATGTCACCAGTGCAGTACAGCATCATCATACAACTGGTGTGTCAGTGATCAGGGACTGACTGGTGAAATTTTTTTTTAACATTTTTTCCTTTTTTTAACAATTTCTTTTTTACTTACAGTGACCAAAGCAATACAGTGTTGCCATAGTAACACTGTACTACTATGGGGAGTGGACCAGTATTTTTTTTTTTACACACTATGATTGCTTATAGCTGAATTTTACACTTATAAGCAATCATTTTTCTGAATAAAAACTATTCATTCAATGTTTACAATTGTGATTAGCTGTGATTGGCCAAGCTAATCACATGGTACAGATGGGCTGTGATTGGTCCTGTCTGTACCATGTGATCACTGTGACCAATCCAGAGCTCATCAGAATAATACATAATTAAAGGCATGAATCAAAGCCTTTCATTGTGTACAATTGACATGTGATCTGCTGTGATTGGCAGCTGGCTGGTACAGTGATCTGTCATCGGCTGTGTTCGGTGGACACAGTGGGTGACAGATTGCACCAGAGCATGGCCCATAGGGCGTGTGTGAGGTGCGATCCTTGGAGAATGTCATATGATACAGTATCTCATGGAAGTGAGTACAACCCTCACATTTTTGTAAATATTTGATTCTATCTTTTCATGTGACAACACTGAAGAAATGACACTTTGCTATAATGTAAAGTAGTGAGTGTACAGCTTGTATCACAGTGTAAATTTGCTGTCCCCTCAAAATAACTCAACACACAGCCATTAATGTCTAAACAAAAGTGAGTACACCCCTAAGTAAAAATGTCCAAATTGGGCCCAAAGTGTCAATATTTTGTGTGGCCACCATTATTTTCCAGCACTGCCTTAACCCTCTTGAGCATGGAGTTCACCAGAGCTTCACAGCTTGCCACTGGAGTCCTTTTCCACTCCTCCATGATAACATCACGGACCTGGTGGATGTTAGAGACCTTGCGCTCCTCCACCTTCCGTTTGAGGATGCCCCACAGATGCTCAATGGGGTTTAGATCTGGAGACATGCTTGGCCAGTTCATCACCTTTACCCTCACCTGCCTCACCAAGGCAGTGGCCATCTTGGAGGTGTGTTTGGGGTCGTTATCTTGTTGGAATACTGCCCTGCGGCTCAGTCTCCGAAGAGAGAGGATCATGCTCTGCTTCAGTATGTCACAGTACATGTTGGCATTCATGGTTCCCTCAATGAACTGTAGCTTCCCAGTGCCAGCAGCACTCATGCAGTCCCAGAGCATGACACTCCCACCACCATGCTTGACTGTAGGCAAGACACACTTGTCTTTGTACTCCTCACCTGGTTGCCGCCACACACGCTTGACACCATCTGAACCAAACAAGTTTATCTTGGTCTCATCAGACCAAAGGACATGGTTCCAGTAATCCATGTCCTTAGTCTGCTTGTCTTCAACAAAATGCAGGATTTCTTGTGCATCATCTTTAGAAGAGACTTCCATGCAGACTAATTTGATGCAGTATGCGGCGTATGGTCTGAGCAGTGACAGGCTGACCCCCCACCCTTTCAACCTCTGCAGCAATGCTGGCAGCACTCATATGTCTATTTCCCAAAGACAACCTCTGGATATGAGCACGTGCACTCAACTTTTTTGGTTGACCATGGCAAGGCCTATTCTAAGTGGAATCCGTCCTGTTAAACCACTGTATGTTCTTGGCCACCATGCTGCAGCTCAGTATCAGGGTCTTGGCAATCTTCTTATAGCCTAGGCCATCTTTATGTTGAGCAACAATTCTTTTTTTCAGATCCTCAGAGAGTTCTTTGCCATGAGGTGCCATTTTGAACTTCCAGTGAGCAGTATGAGAGAGAGTGAGAGTGATAACACCAAATTTAACACACTTGCTCCCCATTCACACCTGAGACCTTGTAACACTAACGAGTCACATGACACCGGGGAGGGAAAATGGCTAATTGGGCCCAATTTGGACATTTTCACTTAGGGGTGTACTCACTTCTGTTGCCAGTGGTTTAGACATTAATGGCTGTGTGTTGAGTTATTTTGAGGGGACAGCAAATTTGCACTGTTATACAAGCTGCACACTCACTACTTTACATTGTGGCAAAGTGTCATTTCTTTGGTGTTGTCACATGAAAAGATATAACAAAATATTTACAAAAATGTGAGGTTTGTACTCACTTCCGTGAGATACTGTAATAGGGCTCCCACCCTGCTGTCATGCTAAAATAGGCAGAGTGGGAAAGGGTTAAACTCTGTTTGTTGCCTGGCTACTGTCACTGCTGCCTGAAGAAGAGGACCTTAGTGGCCTTGAAATGTCACTTTTTTGATGGGTTAATTTACTGAAGGCACCTTGTAAGGTAAGTTTCACTTTGTAAGGGAATATATCCCAGAGTTCAGTAAATGAGATTAAGTTCTACTGACATCCATCATCTCCTCTAGATTGTAAGCTCCAAGGAGCAGGGCCCTCAAATCCCTCTTGTTTTGAACTGTATTGTTACTGTATTTTCTCCCTCTATTATGTAAAGCGCTGAGCAAACTGTTGGCACTATATAATCCTGTATAATAATAATAATAATCTCCAATCACATGCAATCAAAAGTGCTGTTTTTTTAAATTTCCTTGCAAGTGCTTGGATATTATTTGTATTTATTTGGGTATTCTTTGCAAAGTTAAATTTCACCTAATTTACTAAACTCTGGGGTAGATTCCATTGCAAAGTGCAAAGAGAACTGCCTATTTACCTTTAGTAATTCAGCCCAAAGTGTTCTGTCTTATGGTTTGAACATGAGTGCTGGTGATATCCTGGACTGGAAAATATAGGGACTTGCTGAGGACGAGTTTCTCCTTTTTTCACATCTGTTATAAATCAATATAACTTCATAAACAGAGAGTGTGCTTCCCAGAAAGTGGCTCGTTGTTTTGAGATTGCAAACTTTTATTGCAGCGAGATGCACAATTTGGCAATGACTAATGAGTGCCCAGCATGAAAAAGCTGTAGTCGCAGGCAGTCACATGCTAATACAGTGCTGATGTTACAGATCATTTTTCTCTCCCTTGTAGTAGCAGCCTGTAAACATACGTTCTTAGATATCAAGAAGACACTTGGGTGGAATGAATGTCAAGGCGGCTTCTACTGTCTTCCTGACAAAGTTGCATTAACTTATTGGACATTTGGGCAGCCAAGAATGTTCACAGCAAATGTTGTTCCAAGTGATTAAGTGTTTGTAAGTTATTTACAGTACATGCAGATGCGATGTCCGTTTCTTTTGGAAGATGGCTACGCAGCCTGGAGAGCAGACAGCTGGACTGCGGCCTCATCACGCCATAAGTAGTCCAGCCAATAGGTCTTTATTAATGCTGAGGACTAAATGAACTAAAAAAGATTTGCTGTGAGCATCTGCACTCTCTTCCCATGACTTGCATCCTTGCAGAGATCCTGCCACCTGCCCATAATATCACTGTTCTTTTATCTGTACTCATGTTCAAGCGCTGCATGTTCACACACAACATGTTTCCTAGCAGGACACCTTTCTTGCCTTCCTCAATACCCATGCATTTGTCTTCTGTTTATATTTTAGAATGTGGGCCCAGAACAGCCACAGCTGGTCCAAAAAGCCGATATTGCAGACTTCATCGGAGCCCCCGGCATCTGACAGCTGGAGTGTTCCCCGGCTCAACACAAATCACAAAGTCTTAGGAGCCCTCATTTTTATTTCAGTCTTCACTAGACGCAAGTTCACTTTGCCATGCCAGTTGTTCTTTTGGAAAAAAAAAGAAAAAGATTTGGCACAGTCAAGCTGAAAAGCTTATTACGCCAGCATTCTGCTTTGTAAAATCCATACAAAGAAGTAAAGGCTCGGTTGTGTTATGTTGATGTTTTTTCATTATATTGATTTTCAACTAACTACAATAAAGCGACAGTACGTGAATTCCTGAAGAAGGGTGCTATTATATAAGCCATTATAGCTGTGAGCTATTATATTGTAAGCTCTGATGAGCAGGATTCTTAAGTGTTTATATATGTTCTACCGTCTACACTGTGTTTGTGTTATTTCAAATCTATATGGGAAAAAAAACAGAAATGTGTTGCTGTATTACGAATAAAAATGATCAAAGGATAATATTCACAAAGTGTAAATAATAGACAATCAGGATAACCAGTATGTTATGTTTCGGATTTTATTTCTTAATTTGCAGTCTACTTACACACATACATAAACTAGAGTTCAGCCAGCAGGAGGGGACCAGTAGAAATTATATAAGGGGGTTGATTTACTAAAATTGGAGAGTGCAAAATCTGATGCAGCTCTACACAGAAACTAATCGACTTTCAGGTTTTATCGTCAAAGTTTAATTGAACAAGCTGAAGTTAGAAGCTGATTGGCTACCATGCACAGCTGAACCAGATTTTGCAATCTCCAGTTTTAGTAAATCAACCCCAAGGTGTAACTGCACCCAGGCCTTGACCTGCATGTCATCTGTCTGATTTGTGTATTGTGCACAGATGTACTCCAGGATCAAATATAGTTCATTTTCACGGGTATCCAATAAAAAAAGCTCAATTTGTTGTATTAGAAAGTGTGGTAATGGGTAATTCATGCACAGGTGTTGAGGGGTTCCTTATGGATTATAGTTAAGCTCTGGGAATTTTTTTCAATAGATTCCTTACCATAGTGCACTTAAAGAAGCAGCTCTGGCTGCAATACCCATCTGCCCTCCAGAGCTGTCCCCTTTACTCATTCCATTCCACCATTAGATGACTTCAGGCAACCCAGAAGACTTACTGTGGTATACTGTAACATTGGTCTGCCTTCTGAGGGGCCATCACCATGGTGCCCTACACT